CGATGATAGTCTCCGCCATCTTTTACCGAAGTCGCTGAAGAGGCAATGAACGGTTGGCCGCTTGGTTGGAATGAGAGCATACTTTGTAAATTGAAATTACTATCCCATGTTTTCATATTGTGGAAATATGCATCTCGTCAGTGCAGGTTTAGAAGAATCGCAACAAATATTGAAGCAATTTCTTAGCTGGTATGACAAGCTTTTTCTTGTGAAAATCAGATATTACTGAAGGGCTGTGTAAAACCATAGATAGCTTTCTCAACAAAGGGTTTACCCTAAAATAGAAGTGGGCAATTCTTAGTACTGGCGAAAAACGTTCCGATGTGTCATGTTACCACGGAGCGCACAAAAATTATTCAACACTGCTAAGCAGTTTTTTCGGACAATTCCCATCAGATTAAAATCCAGAAAAAACCGGTTAAAACTGAACAGTTGTTGCGTTCTTTGTTGTAGGACATTTGCTGTTTATTTGGTGGTCCATGCTGGACCATCCGCTGTTTTAAGAGGAGAAAATCCCGCTTTCGGCTTTCGAAAGTTATTCACATGCCTGTATAGTAGCTTGTGGGTCGGAGAAATATCTGGCTGTCAAAGCCACTTGATATGCTAATTTGTCTACACGTTTTAGTTCAATGCTATATATGAGATGGTCAGCATACGGCCTTCCTGATTGCCGAGCTCCCGTCGGTTTTGTAAGAATGTCATACGGTGTTTCGTGTCGTTATGCGTTTTCGTGTCCCAATTTGCACAGAAGGGTCCATGTTGCTCGAACAGCAGCGAGACCAACCAGGTTGATTTACTTGCTGACAAGACATTCCCAGAAAATATCATTCGTGTCCTCGGCAAAGGAATTCCAGTTATACGTTTCAACTATCGGAATTAACTTGTCGTAAGGAGTTACGCTAAGCTTCGCTTTGGTGTGCACCATGGGGTGTTCTGTGTAAAAAGTACATATTATTGGAAACGTTGCATGAGCGGTGTGGCCTAGAAGAGCATCACTGGCATTCCTTTCGATCATGAGTTCGTCGTTGGTGAATAGCCGATCTAGTATAGGTTGCCTGTCTGTCTCTTTGCCTCAGGTGTGATTGTTGACGTAGCCATAAAGCGAACAACTGAAAATAAGCTCTTACAGATTGGGTTTGAACTGTTCTTCGGAGTAGCTTTGGATTTCATAGATGTAGAAATCGCTAGTGAAACGCATGTGGTTGTGCTGCTTTATTATTCTACACCGCAGCGCTGCTTATTCCTATGAATTACCCAACTTAGGGCGAATACATGTTTGAAACCCAGCTCGGGCGTCAAACATAGAGGGCGGTAAACGACAGCCGCTAAGCAAGCGCCGTTGTCACGCAGACATAGACGGCACCAGATGGAACCTGGCACTATATTGCACGAATGTCCCAAGATTCTGCATTAAAGTTCAGCATGGAAGTACGAAGCCACTCCATCCACATTACCTGGTCAGTCGTGCAGAACAAGACATACATGGCAACTCCACCTCGATGCCAATGATGTCGGGGCGCAATCATCTCCATCACAGCGATCAGGTTCCGGGCATTTGAGCTCTGGCTAACTCGCGGTTCGGAAGTTTTACTATATGGGCCTTGAGCAAGAGTGCACATACAGAAATGCTTCCTGGGTGTCAGAAGTGCTTGACAAGGAGCTTACAAGAAGGGTGAATGTAAGCCGATCGATGAGAGGCCAACACCTAATTTAATGGTTTATCGGTGAATAGTAACCACAATTAACGATATGTTTACCTTTTATTCTCAATGGCTACTGGTCTGATAGCTACGACTCTTGACTCGCCTTTAATATTACATTGAGGCCAGAGTGGTGTTGTTTCCTCGATTCATTCAGGTAGCTGCGATTCTCTAAATTGCTGGTTTAATTGTAGTTCCGAAAATAGTGTTACGCAGTGTATGCATGCTACGCAATAATTTCACTATCACCTATTATTATTGAGCTACACTTGTTAGTATTCTCGTACCGATGATTTTATAGTAATGCAATACGGGTAGCCTTTAAATTGGCTGAAGCATGACGTCACAACATGTAGGGCTTAACGGACATACGGCCATTCTTCCAGGCACTCGTATCCCAGTCTCCTCACGAATGAAAAGGATACTTCTGTTAGTGTATGCGGCGTTTGTTTGAATTATTTTGTCTTACTTAAGTTCGCTCCACGGGACATCCGGAAATATGCTTATGCCACCATCTTTATTCCGGAGGCGATGTGTCGAGAGCAGCACTGCCTGGATATCATGCGTGGATCACAGTGATACCCGTATAAGTAGGAACTCAACACAGTGCATCGGGTCGGGTTTTCTCGTGAAGCTGCATGACCCGTGCGCCGATATTCTCACAAATAGGATTCCACTAGCTAAGACGGCCCTACTGTTTGCGTCTTAAAGATATTGTTATAGGCTCGGGAATGTTGGTGCCTATGGGTGCCACGGCACAGTATTTTCTCTGCATTCCGTTAATGTAGGTAGACGCAATGTAGCTTGGCTTTTGCGAGGTTTCTGCAATTTACATCTGGTCCTTGACAATATTTGTGGTCGCTATGACTAAAGCTACTATAAACGAACGTTGGACATGTCGAGTAGCAATTTTTGCATGAAAGTAGCAAATTTCGGGCAGATTTGGCTCTTGTCGGTCAGTTGGAAGCGTAGGCGTAACCCAAGTTATATCAGACGGGGCATTAAACAAGAGGATAGTGCTTTAGATCTTTGCATATCTTGATCGTTCGCGATGGTCGGTCTGTTTAGGTTTGCCACAATCTCCGTTACCATACTAAGAAAGGAAAGCCTGTCACCTTTCACTGGTTTCGGCCAAGTGATAGGGTGGATGGATGAAGTACCTGCTCTGCTCTTATCGCCTCAAGGAACGCAATTCTAGCATTTAGTAGTCCAGTTTCAACGATTAAACGGTCCTGTTTTTGAGCTGTTACTTGTAAATATATTTTAAGAGAAAAGCGAGCGTAATTTATGACAAGATAGAAGTGAGCCCAGCATACAGTTGCAAGACGCGATGGAACCATTCGACTCGAAGTGACTGGTACAATTTGAATATGGCAGTCCTATGTTTAATAACTTCTACAAGCTTCCGCTGCACAGACTTTTGGCCCCACAGTTATTGCGTGCAGTACGATCGAACATACGTTTCTTGGTTTGCCAGTTGAGCGCGGCTCGCAGTTTTGAATGACAGTTAGCGGCTGAGAAGTTCAAGGATAAAGGACTGATAGTTTACGTCTAACGCGCTGATTCTGTCGGTCATTTGATCAAGGGCAGGACAGTTAGTATAGACCCGTATGTGGGCCGCTGTCGTGCAGGCTGATTGATCGCACCGACTGAAATGCATAGCGGCGAAACTAGGCTGCCGCCTGAATAGCAATTATTCACAATCGAAACATCATTTACTCTCTATTGTTATTGAAATGTGACCAGAGAGGCAATGTCAGCATGCTAAGAGTCTCCTCTCACAAAGTTGGCTTATTTCCGTATTAGTCAGTAGTAACAGCGCAACATTTTGCACGTGAGTAATGATGAAAAATGGCGCACTATGTTAACGCTCGTCAGATATGAGCTGCGATGAAATTTTGCAACAAAAGTGCTTTCAGTGGATGGAGCTTATCGAACCGAGACAAAAAGGTGTAAATCCAGCGCTATATGAGGAAATGTTATACCGTGTATCCCAAAAGAACGCAGAGCTCATAATGACACAGCTGTGTTCCATATCAACAACTTGTACCGACGATGCGGCCTACTGGTGTATTTGTTCAACTTGATCGGTCTTTTATGTCATTGTTCGTTATAAGGTCGTGTGCATTTGCTCCCAACGTTGTGGCACTTACCACAAGATGCTTTAATGCAAAAGAGGTATGGACCATCTGGTTACTCGGTTTTGTTTTTGCTTGACTACTGCCGACATTCGACACCAGTGGCAGGGCTGCTAATTTTTCTTAACATCCGGTTTGCTGTCGTTAGAACTGGTTAGACAGTTAAACGCAAGCGGAGTCTGACTGACTGATGACATCACGCCCAGTATAAAATTGTTGGCTCATGAATTTTGTATGGTTCCTGCCGAACAGAGCAAATTACGTTGAAAATACTTTATTTAGTCGTATTGGACTATATACTAAATGTCTTGTGATTAGGCATTATCTTTCTCAAGACGCCATGCAATCACCTGTTTAACAGCGAGGAATAAATTATTACGTCACAGATTAGGGATCTGCAGTTTATCGACCAGACAGAAAAATCATTAACGTAGGGACCAGCAAGAAGTAAAATAGATAAAAGACAACGTTATTTAACATTAGGACCCTTGTCAGCCACGATCCCATCGGTGCCTCCCTTAACTTGACTTATTCCGGTGTCCTATGGTACTGAAAACGCGCAAAACTCGACTGGTTCCAATACCATCGCAATGTTTACCGACAATGGTAAGTCGTGTTTCTCCGTTATATCTATGCTAACGTGAGGTAGTTCTGAAAAATACCGCTTCCGAGGAAAACATAAATATCCCCACATAGTTTCACCGATCCCGTCAACATTAGCCGTAAAACTCTGCTCCCGACACATTGTGCTCACAAACAAGGTGACTTGTGATCTCCTTCCATGCGGTCTGTTTCCACGTGTAAAGTTCCATGGCAGGAAATAAATTAAGTCCACAATAAAAAACAAGCGCTGTTCAATCCATCTTCTCAAAACGCCTAGCTAGCCACATTGATGCTGACACTTCACGTGAGAAATTCTCAGCTTATTAGTGTTTTTGCTCCATCGAAATGTACCAAACCGGATAGCTCTGCACCTGCAAGTATCGTCGTATCAACGTGAATAGACAGGATTGGAGCCATCTGTTAAGGATATACGAAAAATGTCTAATTCTTAACTATTTATTGAAATAACTACCAATGCTTACTGATTAATAACTGGACACATTTATGTTTTATATAGCAAAACTTGAAAATTGCACTGAGCAGTGGTTAATGTACGCACCTTTCGTGGCAAAGCCTTTGGAAGAAGAACAACCTTGCCAATGTTTTTTCTCTCCTGTAAACGCATCATGGCTTCCTTTGTCTGTAAAAGTGTGTAAAAAAACAAATGCTTGTAAGTAACACAATATTTCATTGAGCTGTTTTTGAAGTGTTCTGTTAAAAGTAATTACCTTTTTCGCCACGAAGCTATTCCAAGTGTGGTGCACCTGTATTGGAATTTATGCTACATAAAGCAAACCATAAAATGCTCATAGCGCACGAAAGCCCTAAACGAAAAACTACCAACAATTCCAATCCGATGTATCCGACTGGCGCCAGTCGAACTCCAATCGGTGGCCGGTAACATCCAAAAAATACTATCATTCCAAGTGATAAATTCTGAACTGTGTACGTGTAGCAAAAGTTTTTCATCCATATTCCGAAACCTAAAGCGCGCATATGACGGACTGTAAATCTGTATCAACTTCCGTTAAAGCTTTCGTTAGCACGATCGCCGATATTTCCCATAATGTTGACAACAAACCGGTTAAAATAATTTACGCCATGGAATCTATTCAATTCAGCGCTTGAATTCACATTTATCTTTTAAATATCCTGCTGCTGACTTCAATATATGCTAAACGGAATGCAGAAAGATAAGCTTGTGGACATCACGATGCACAGTTTATAAACTACCTGTACTATATGTAAAAACCGCGGGGTTTGTTGCTTATAATTTGTTTGTTATGTACATATTGCTACCACTGACAAGCAAAAAGTTGTATGCGTATTTACAGTGACAACGTTTCACCATATCATACATGCCATTTTCGATTTGCTAAACAAAGCGCTTGCAAAGTTCAACATCTTGAAAAATCCTTGATACCGATGGAGAACTCGAGTTCAGGAAGCTTTGCATGCAACCGGTTCATCTTTCATAAACCTCGACGGAAGTAATACCGCGATGAGGCGCTTGTAAGACATTCTGCTTTTGGATCGAATACAGTCAAACACGAGAACCGCGGCAGTACTAAAGAGAAACGCGGCATGGTTCCTATTTATTGTTCGGTTAATGTTCGATTGGTCAGTTTGCATCAGCTTTACTGTATATTCTGTAATTTTAAATGCACAGCATTACAGTACAGAACAAAGCATAGACTAATGCGACAAAGTTAGTGTGGTTGAAGCCGATCCCTCTATGTATGTATCGTATATAATTGCATTTTATATGATATGATTACACACGATCGTCAGCGAAATTTTTCTTGCCTCGTCGAAACTCCATTCACTGTCAATCCATGGATCTATCGTCTTCGAATCGATCAGCTTGCATAGTTCGGACCAAACTTCCTGAACAATGGTAGCTGCTTCAGCTGTCGCGCGCACAACCGACCCCGGAGAAGTGTGAGGAAAGAGCATGGATTTTAGGCAGAAGCCACCGATCACGTGATTTTCATCGTACAGTCGTAGAGGATTGATTCGATCGCTTTGAAGCCACTGCAATAGAATGATCAAACACGGTAGAATGAAAGGTTACTGAAATTTGCATTTTAGTTAATGTCTTCAGCAAGTCGGTCACAGAACACAACAAACTTGTTGGTACATCACACCTGTAGTATGTGAAAAAACTATTTTTGTTTGTTTAATTAGCATGACCCCGAAGAGGCTGTACACCGTAACGGCGCTTTGCTGCCGCGTGACCACCAACAGTCGCGCGCGGGCTGAGTAGACCGCGAGGACGCCTACCCCTACGCGGATTCGAACTGGTGACCTTACCCCGAAGAGGGATTGAGTGCATAGGTAAGAATAGATGGTAGTATACAATAAGTCAACAACTGTTCAGCTGCCATTAAGTACAGATAAAGGAGTACCAATATTATGCACCATAAATGCTTTTATTCTCTGGTTTCCTTGTGACTATACTTTTTATAAATCAGGGTAAGTTTCAAACAAATACAACCGTACAATAGATGGCTAAGATTCATTATAGTTACATACAGTCAGAGCGCCAATATACATCCAGTAAAGCGATAGACAGCAATTTAGTCCCTTTGGGACTCCTCGGTAGCGCGCACTCCTTGCATCCTTCCAGATTCGAACAGATGACCTTACTCCTACGAGTCCGCGACGTATGCCACTGAGCCGTGGATGATCGTGGTATACCAGCACGACGGAGAGATGAATGCGATTTAGGGCGGCTCAGTCTCTACTGTGTTGCATGTTATGAAAGTGCAGAGGAAAGGCTGACCCCCAAAGCTACAAACTAAGTTGCAGTCGTGGTGACATGTAAACTAGACAGAAAAAGCTTGATTATTAGAGACTATTAGAGATTATTTATCTCCAGCTACTGAGCAATATTCGTGCTATTTTTTAGTATTCAATCACCTAACCAGCTAAAAGTATCCCATATAAATGAATCCCCAACTTCCTACGGCTAAGGTCATGAAACAGGAGATCTATGGAGATACAACCTAAGCATCCAACAACGCGTGGAACTTTACTTAAAGTATTAAAGGACTGGTGACAAAAATTGAAATACAACTAGAAATCAAAGAAGTATCTATGTTTAGAGTTACTTCGTCGCAGTCCACTCAGTCCCCCAATAAGCCATGAGTGACGGCCGCGACCTGCATGTATGACACTTGAATATGATATAGCCCGGCTCATCTTCCACTGCCATACCCGTTACAAACTGTGCACAGGACCTTGGAAAGGGTCCTGGTCTATATCAAATTCAAGTGTCAATCCTGCAGGTCGCAGGCGTCATCCATGGCTTATTGGTATAAGTTGATAACACTCAAAAGTCATGGTGTTGAAACCCGAGAGGGGCCCGAGGAAGGCTCACCACTGACGGGATCCAGAAGAGCGAAACAGTGCTGTCTGGGATTTTTCAGACGCGCCATAGCCTAATGACTGAGGGACTGTGACGGATCGCCTTTGAATTAAACCAAATTCCCGATACTCATTAGTAATTATTTAGATGACAGAGTTGTAGAAATTATGCAGAAGTCTGGGTAATATGTGAAATAAGTGCGCAAGAAATGCTGCTTGTTTTCGTTGAGACGTTTTAATCGGGCATACGTAAATGTTTCATATCGTAAGCCTAAAAGAAAAGACTTGATAGAAGCTATTTTTAATGCTGGCTCAACCTTTTTATTACTTAGAGATAAACGCTCGCAAAATGTTAAATGTATTTTTTGCTGCTCAAGGATAATAAATGATTAATTTTTGGGTTCATTCGAGTTGATGGTTCACTCGGTTTATCGTTACAAGCATATTCGGATTGTAATTCTCTTAAATTAGAAATGCTGAGTATATCATATTTAAAGCGTTATGCTTATATTTTCCTAGATCACAAAACAATTAAGGAACGGCAGTCAGTCAATAGAACCTCATATTTAAATCTGGACAGTACAGAGGAATTAAAACGGGGATTAAAACTTGGAGAGTAAGAAACACCATGATACAGCAACATCAACAATTGCGAACCAACGACTGTCCCATCAAATTCCGGTTGACATGATCGTTTTCTTTGCTGTCACAGCAAACCCCACCGGAAGACAGCATAAACATCAAAATCCGCCACACGCTTTCCGAACCAAGATGAATCAGAAGTTTCTGACAATGTCAACTCAAATTTTTATCGTATGTTTTTGACCAGAAGGTGGATAATTACGTACAAATGCAAGTGGCCAAAGCGGAAGATAACGTGTTACCTATTTAGAACGTTTAACATAATGTTTTATTGGATACTAATATGTTGTCGGAAATCTAGTAAGTACGTGCCGTACAGCTCTCCCACATCCCCAACATGATTTGAATATAACTGAGAGCAGAATATCCTTTGCTTTATTGGGAAATGTAAGAAAGTACTGTACAAATTGCGCAAATCGCTTGCACTTCATGCAGAACACGTAAACATAGCGAAAGGTATTTGTAGTAATTCAAAATTTCATCTACATATTCAACAGTAAATACTGCGCCTGCAAACGGAAATCCCATAAAATGGTTGAAAACAGATGGTGTGTTACCGTCAAATTGGCGGTGGATTAAAGCTACACGAAATATTCCCGGATCGAATAAGAATTCACGGTCAAAATTGTGCAAAGGTGTGATTTTACAAAAGATTAGGGCAACAAATTGCATACTGACCTTGAAATGTCCCCCAGAAATGTATAATAGTTTTGTTCTCAAATTAAAATCGGAAGTCCAAACAAAACCTAATGCCGGCAAAATCTGACTGAAGTCTAACGGGTTTCAAAGCCGAAACACCAGTTCAGTCAGATGCCATTTAAAGCAACCCGATCGATAGTCCGATCAATTGAAAAATCCCTTAAGGGTTAAGAATGCTTGTCGGTAAACACTCCTCAAATCCCAACGTTTACATAACGCTGATTGAGTGGGGTATGCGTCAAATCGCGCTGGGATTGATTTCTAACGTGTTTGAACGATCAAAATCGATGACTTAAAGCGGTTACAGATGGCGAGGAAAGTGCATCAAAGGAACCTTAATACACAAGATTCAGCAGTCTAAAGTAAGTAGGTAAGTTGACAAGAGGAGCTAAGTAAGCATGTCAGTCGGCCACGGTAGTAGTATCGGCCGTATGATTTGTTTATATCCACATTAATCCGGCTTCAGATGGTTGATGTAAATAACCTCGACAATAGACAGGAGCTGCTTTTGGAAGCATTGCGAGAAGCGTCAAGGTAGCGAGTAGATGACTTTAAAGTCATTCTCAGATGTAGCATGGCTACATTCGAGGTAGTGCGACATGATTGAGCTGTCTGTGGACCACACTACGCCTTTGTAAAATCACGCCGGAATGTGCTCGTGAATCCTCTGGGATAGGCGTCCCGTTGTGCGGCCCAAGTACGAGCATCACAGGAGTACGAGTACCGATAAACGAGCGTTACAAGGGTTAAGGAGGGCAGACTATCTTTTAAGGGTTTTTTAAGCATTGGTTTTTTGTGGTAAACAAATCTAAGACGGGCTGCGAAATAAGTTTGATTAACAGCGTTTTCAGACCACGACATAAGTATTAGCGGCAGTATGGCCCTTAACTCGCAAATGTATGAACAGCTGTTTCTTGGAAGCAATGCTTATAGGGTGCTTTCGTTTTCTTTCTTTCAGAAGCTTCATGCTAAATTTATTGGGTTAATCATTTTCCCGAAAGGCCTCAATTAGACTCTGTAATTCTTCGTTGACGGTATCCGGAGTGCAAATACTGCGCGTCCTGAAGACAATAGATCGAATTAAACTCCTTTTTTCTGAAAAGGCACTACGCTGTAAAGTTGGTATACCGCCCGGTCCACGTATGCTTTCTGCGTACCTTTCTGCTGCATGAGCCGTTCCAGTTGCGGGCGACTTCTACATCCAGAAAGTAATCGGTTTCCGTTTTCGTGCCCACAGGTGAAGCGTAGTTTCTCATTTGCATCAGTAAACTCTCTCAGCAACTCTTCTGCATGCTTTTCGGATACGCAAAGCAGGAAGCTGTCATCGACATGCCGTAGGAACATTTCAGTTCCACAGATGTGCGTCCTGAGTGGGCCAACTTCTAAGTTCGCTATAAAGATATCAGCTAACGACGGCCTCAAAGGAGATCCCATGACCACTCTATCAATCTGACGGTACATTTCACCATTGAACGTGGATCAAAAATTTAACGAGTAGTGAAGTAGTATCTGCTTTAGCAAATCATCGGAAATGTAGCGTATATTGGCAGCTGCCGGGTCAACTCGAACAAGTAATCCATCGTTTCGAGCAGTTGAATATTTGTAAACAGCGACCGGTCTTTTGACGAGGCTATTTCATCAACCATCTGAAGCCGGATTAATGTGGACATAAACAATTCATACGGCCGACACTACTACCGTGGCCGACTGACATGCTTACTTAGCTCCTCTTGTCAACTTACCTACTTACTTTAGACTGCTGAATCTTGTGTATTAAGGTTCCTTTGATGCACTTTCCTCGCCATCTGTAACCGCTTTAAGTCATCGATTTTGATCGTTCAAACAAGTTAGCAATCAATCCCAGCGCGATTTGGTGCTTACCCCACACAATTGGCGTTATATAAACGTTTGGGTCTGAGGAGTGTTTACCGAAAAGCATTCTTAACCCTTAATGGATTTCTGGTCTTGATTAATTTGAATGCAATAGGAATATTCGCTTTGCTGAAGAACAGCGATATTCGTGTTTCAGTGAAGAATCAACAAATGTAGGCTAATGAAAGTGCAAAACAAAGGAATATGTGTGGTCTTGAGGCATGCTTCGATGAAATCCAAACTGTTATTTGCCCGTTACATAGCATTTTCTATTTTCGCGCATTCAAAAGTAACTCACATGTTTAGCCAAACTAAAAAAGTTCTTCCGGTCGCCCGTCACAAGATTGGACATTCCTGATAATGGGAAGAACAAACGCTGGTTGTTATTCTTTGATCTCTTCTTCAGCAAATTTGCCTGTGTGTTCTGAGCTAAGTTAGGCTCTCTGATTGGATAGTATACTAGCCTTACTTGTTTCGAAAGTAAAGACAACTCATATATTTTCCTATCTGAAACCTGTAACCAATTGCGCTGAGTTAATTCGTAATCCCCTCTATCGCAGCTTATGAATTCAGCATCATATTTACCATTACTAGAAGGAATAAGTACTAAAATACAAACCATTGGATAACCAAAATATTTTGCTAAATATACAACAAAATATAAGTAAAACAAACTTTCAGCACCTCAGCAATTATTCGTCAGTGGAAATATAACTCTAAACTAGCATGAATCATTACGTGAAGGAATAAAATACACTAATCGTAAGGGCTATTAAACCGTTCGCCATTCTAAAATTTTCGTTCAAATTAAGTTTGTTATGGTAACATTACATTGTGTTTACTGTCAAGATCTACCAGTTGGATAAAGGAAATTTATTTTGAACTGTGACAATTTCATTATAATGGAACAAGCACTGAGGTCTTGTTCGCGAAATAAAAATTTTAACTTGTCCAAACTATTAAAAATCTCAGGTAGCGACTGATTTTTTCTCTCACGCATCTTATATTTTTGAACTCAAGCAACAGGTGACACACTCTTGCAAGGTTACAAGCTACAAGTTCTGGAAAATTGTTATCCTGCATCCTGAGTGCGATATTTATTCAAAAAATCTTATATTTACACTTTGAAAATTGCAGTGTCCCCAAAGCAATGCAAACCTTAAATGGTGAAGGTTCGTGCAGTCACACGTTGCAAGCTGGCTGCTACAAGTCTGCTTTCTAGTCCTTAGTCAATAATCGGTCTATCGGATCGCACTTTACACTACTCACAAACATCCACCATATGATATTAGTTGAATTTACCATTATTCCAATACAGGGCCGGTGGCACACATATATGTGCACATTCATAATTAAGTAAAATCCTTATCAGCCTCAGGATTCAAATACTGGCCTTTACAAAGTGTTTCTTACCATACAATATGTATCTTCCAAGTGGCTTCAAAATCCCGTACGATTTGCTCATCTCTTCCCCACTCAGACAGTCCAGCACGACATCAATCCCTTGAGGATAAAGCCTGTTGAGACAATGATACAAACAAACTCGAAACATGGTTGTGGAAACTTAAAATGGATCTGAAAAATACGCCAGCAGCAACTATGGTTTCGTGACTGAATATGTATCTATATGCTATGTATGCACAATCTTTAACGTGCACGCGATCAACAAATAAAAGGATTAAAATTATTGATAATTTAATACTAAAAAGATAGAAGCAAGTTTTCCAGCAAATCTACACAGCGTGTAGTGCTTATTTTTTATGGATGCATGTTTTGAATCAATTCACAAAATATTCTATTGAATGTTAAAAGAAGAAACCGTCAAAATTTACTTTGGTAGCGTGGTATGCTCAGCAACCATGCTTAGAATTGCGAGCGGCAAGTAAGGTTATATGCGCGCAAATGAAATTCAAATTTTAGTTCATACAGTAGACAGTAATATTGTTCATAACTTGCAATTAATTAAGCATGTTGTAGAAACTAGGTGCACAATCTATATTCCTTAGCCACTTCATACAAGTCAGGCCAAATGTTGTACCTCTAAGCTGCCAAATTTTTGTTGAATTTCCATAATAACTCCTGAAATTATTTTTCTTTTATAGCTGCTATTATGAGTACTGTTATGGCATTAATAGACATAGTTTAGCGCACGCGTGCCCTGATTGGCAGTCGGCCCACTACCTTGAAAAGCAGTAGCTCTCAAGCTTTAAGCGCTGAGTTCCACTACAAGCTATAGCTGTCTCTACCTAAAAAGTCCATACAAGGACAAAAGGCGTTGTGCTCTGTAGAGAGAGGATAACATAGAAACCCTTTAAGCCCTGGAAGATAGATTTGAGCAATCGGAATCTGTCTGAGATGTTGATCAGTAACATTTTACTTCTTGTCGATGGCATAACATCCTAGGTCACGAGAGAAGCAGCGGCCAAAGCGACCTACTTATTGTATGTCATATCGCACACTTTATCCTTAATGTTCTGAAACAGTATTGTTGTAGTAAGCATCAGACCTCGTTCCACACAAATCATCATCCTGCACACTTAAACCAGTGATTGGTAGAATAAGCAATTCGAATATCGTACTGACCAAATATTTTAGGCTTTCTCGTTGCAGTTGAAATGCGTGCCGTCAACATGTTAGAAAATGGAGAAACGAGATTTTGGTGCCTCTCTGGATCGGGTTGAACGTGTAACGGAGTTCGGCTCAGATAAAGTTGATATGCGTAACCCAGGTAAAAAAAACATTTAAAATATGACTGAAATCTGCTCTTCAAAGTTTATGTCCTTAAACACCTCCCTCTGGTACATCGTTAAAGAATTCCCTCAGCAAGTGAACGATACTGATTTTCACTCCGGCAGCAGATATAGGGCTATCAAAACGAGTTCATGTAGACAACTACTCACAAGTCAAATATTTAGGCAGTAGTACTAGCTAAGAGTGTAAGTTACATGTGCTTGGTAGGCCCACAAGCAATGCGTCGATATGATTGGCTGACGCACTACACAATAGGAAGGTGCTATTATGTCAGCCAGCACAAATATGTCCTTGTGTGTTCCTATAGGTACAGAAAATTTCGGATTGCTCAGTACCTTTGCTAACAACACAGACATGTTTGGAGCCTGGTATATAACCAGTCGGTATGCGGACCAATTCTATACTTGTCATCTAAATTGGCAAATAATATATATCTCATTATTATATATAAATATCAGAAATCACTTCAGGCTAAAATATTCTTTTCGATAAACTCTTATCATATCTAAACGTTTACATCGCACTGATTGTGCGGAAAATGTCAACTCGGGCTGGGATTGACTTATGGGCTGATTGCAAGATCCAAACCGAGAACTTGTGACAGGGTACAGGTAATTAAGTAATTAAGTATTTAAGGTAACAAGCAAATAAGTACCAAACAGTGTCAGTTAGCCACGGTAGTAGTACCGGCCGTTTAATTAGTTTTTTACACATACTTTCGGCTTCAGATGGTGGATGTAGATATTCACGGCGACGCATAAGAGCTGTTTGAGTTATCCTTGGTAGTAAGCAGATGAATTTGAAGTCATTCTCGGAAGCTATATGGCCAGATTCAAGGACGTCTGACATAACTGAGCTCTCTGAGAACCTCATTTTGCCTTGTAAAACCATGCCGGGATGTGCCCACAAATCCTCTGAGATGGGCTGCTCGTAGTGCGACCCCTCTATTGTGTACCACAGGCGCACGAGTATTGGTAAAGAATCATTGAATGACTCAACGACGGCAGTCTTATACAAGTTTACAGAAAAGAATTCTTTAGATAACCTCATTTTGCCTTATAAAACCATGCCGTGATGTGCCCACAAATCCTCTGAGATGGGCTGCTCATAGTGCGACCCCTCTATCGTGTACCACAGGAGCACGAGTACTGGTAAAGAATAATTGAATGGCTCAACGACGGCAGTCTTATACAAGTTTACCGAAAAGAATTCTTTACCCTAAAGTGATTTCTGATATTGATTCATATAAATGAAATGGAACTATTTGTTTTGCTGAAGACCAGCACTGCAAGTGATTCGTTGAAAATCCCACTAAATTAGCTTCACCCTCTGAATTGGTTAACTTTCACGCTGATGCAGCAACATGCTAACAGGACAAATAGCTCGCAGGAAGTTTCTAGCGTTACTTCTCAAATCAGTTTTAAAGTGCAAGGCAAATTTTGTCAGGCAACTTTTGAATTGAAATAGTATATGGCTATGCATGACATGCAGTGTACTCTTCTCATGATTCAACCAAACAACAGGGGTTTAATATGCATTATAAACCCATTTGCACCAGTATTATATACATCGTTTTTTTCACCGTTACCACTTAAATTGCTCATTGAGTAAAAAAGTTTTAATACATTTGCAATTGGACAAATAATTGCATATTCGCGGATTCATATACTGAAACCATATTTCCTTCGTGTTACTGTCGGCGCTGATTGCAAGGAGACATGTTTTTCGTTAGTAATTTTAATCAGTTTTTATTAAAAGGGTGAAAGAGAAATTGACACTTCTCCTCAAGAAAACTGTTTGGTCTAGGTTACACTCATTATGAGAGTAGCCAATTTGCTTACACATCCGATTTCACCAGTCCCATTACTGATTCTAAAAAAACCCTAACCGTAACTGAGGAGGCGGTGTAAACATGTATTGAGAGAGCGTAACGTTTTAAGCGCAAGCAAAGCATTGAAATTGATACATTTAAGCCACCCTTCTATATATTTTATGTGGTACTAATGCTTTCCAGAATTCTTTATGACTGACGATTACGTTGAAAGAATGTGGATCGCATCAAAACGGCTGAGCTCCCACGATTATACCTCTGATTTATGTTCCTTACAATTTCCCATGTATATGGGGAATGTACGCAAGGAAACATCAGACACCCTTGTTCGCGCTGTGTGTGTGAGTGTCATTTGTCAAAGTATTTCAGTTTCGCATGATGTGAACGCTCAGCTAAGGTTTCGGCTTTGAGCACGGCTTCGGATTCTCGCATGTTTGCAATGCCCGCGCGATCTATGGTTCACTTGACCTTGAAACGTATCAAAATGCATTTGTGTACAACAGTTTTCACGCTTACCTACTGGTATGTCCCCCATTCAGGATGGGTTAAAGTCAATCGCGGAGAACTTCGATGAGGCAAAACACAAAGACTTAATCAAAATACAACTTAAAATTTTTGATCTAAAAGTGCAGTGATCTAACGCCTGTACTGTCCACTATTCTAGGTCGATTACCCGTTATTGTTACAGCCTCAAGTATTGACCAATCTGTTTACTACCTTTTACCATAGTCCAGTTAAACGCACTTGAATGGTGCGATTACATGTCTTATCCATGAAAATGAATAACAAAATGCTGTTCTAATAAGCATGAACCGTCTATATCGTTCTGGCTGGTATACCTTTTTTTAGATCTTACTTGTAACGTGCGCCTACAGAATAAATCAGATTTCTGTTATTATTTTAAGCGAATACAATAGCCTCAAATGGACACCGTAGCAGAAAGTTTACAATGAAGAATTTATTACAGGGATTGCAAAGGTCATAAGTAAAACTGAAGATAATATATTGAAATAACGCATTACGTGTTCTTAAGATAACTTGCCAAAACACTGGCGTATCCACCATTTTGGAGGAAATTGATCGGCGCCTTTTTATATAACAATCAACAAAGCACAACCGTTGATTTACTTCAATGCTAAAGTCACTAATTTGTTATCGTCATAGTAATACACCGCTTATTTTCCAAAACAGCCCTCGACATTTTCGTGGTTTCTGCAGCAGTGGTGGATAATTTGGCATATAATATAAACATCGCCGCAGATTGAACTAAAAATGTTATTTAGGTGTATCAGGCAAGGTAATCGATACTATTATTTACAGACGTAAAATGGCATTCTGGCATTTTATAGGTTCTCGGAGATGCCACGCTTAACCAAAGCGCTAATAAATACTCCGACAATAATCAACAAAACATATAATTTTTTTATAAGCAAACGGTTAAGAATTAGTTAGCCGTAAGCAATACAAGTTTATAATTAAACATGTTGAACCAAAGTCTGTGTAGCGAATATACAGTTAAGAACCACTAATACCAAAAATACTTTTAAAACTCTCACGAATATGTGGTGTGAACTACGAATTCCGGGACTGATTAGGTTTGTTTAATATTTCTGCGATAGAAACTTTTCATTTTAACAGACTTTAACGCCGTTTCATCTTCCATATGGGGCTTTTCTGATTGATGTGCAAAGTATCAAAACATAGCATGGAACGGAACTACTTAAACAAAGAGGACATGTATAAATGCTGTAGTTTTGCTGTTTTCATCTTCTAATGATGTTCACCACCTTTCCATGTACGATGAATTCGCCGGTTACTCTAAGGTACCTAACAAGACCCACTTAAAAGCTGAGGCCAGCCACATGACGCTTGTCTGCTTTTCATGAGAGTATCCTGACGAGTGGTTTTAACGAATAGCCCATCTTTGCACTAGGG